CGTTTTCGCGAACCCAAAGCTATCAGCCAAATGAGGCATATCAAGGCGAAAGGACGTCTCTGACAGGAAACGCAGAGATTCAGCGTCAGCCCCGGGCTACACCCAGGGCTGAGAGTAGCAGGCAAACATAACGCGTTGGCGTTTCCACGCATGCGGCGTTCTGAAAAAGAAAGAAAAAAACTTTTTTGAGGGAGTTGGGAACGAGCTCATCCTAATTACCACACCGCGTATTATTTTTTTATATGTACTTCTTATTGGTGTAAGTTCCGGGAGTCGTAATGAATCCGAGATAATGAGGTTCTGGAAATGACTCTCCTTCCGCCCGAAAGTGCGGCACTACGGGTTGGAATTGTTTTCCGCGTTCAGAAGTTTGTCATGTCGCTGACAAGTACCCAGATTTTTATTTTATTATAACGGGCGTCGTGCGACGCGGGGCAATAAGATTAAAGATGGATCCGCGTAAAATATTTAATCACTTGGTTTTTAAGAGTCAACCTTTGTTCTTTGTACGTATGCGAACGAGTTATCGCATTCGAGAAGTTTCAGACTAAATTTTGCACTACGTTGTTTTCGTTTGTCTTTTTAATTGTGATGTAAAACGGAACAGCGGCGTTGTCGCAGTTGAATTTACGCTTTTTCCCCCTCCGTGTCTATACGGCGTGTCCCTAGTTGCGTGCAGTACAGGCGAAGGCCACTCCAGGCGAGGGAAGAAAAGGCGAGCACTAGGAAGGCTGGGGAGGTGGAGAGAAACCTCCTCTCCTCTCTAACGTTCCTAGTGCTGTCCCTTTCTCCCATCACCCTCCTCTCCCGTCCGGCCTTCCTTGTGCTCGCCCTTTCTCTCTTCACCTGGCGTTGCCTTAGCCTGCATTGCACACAACTAGTGACACGGAGTATAGGTTGATCTTTATTCTCAAACAAACGGGGTCACACTGCTCAAACATTACCAACCGGGAGGGCAAGGGGGGCGCTTGCCCCCTTCCATTTCTCAGAGTGTGTGTGTGTGTGTGTGTGGGGGGGGGAGGGGGGGGTTAAAGCATGTGTTTTGCCCCCTCCCCCCCCCCCCCCCTGAAACAGGCGCCACTGGGCAGGGCTAACACTGGCTGGCGGAGCCCATGGGAAACCAAGGGCACCTTCCCCCGGCACTGGGGGGGGGGGGGGGGGGGGGGGGGGGGGGGGGGTGTGGTTTGTTTCCTCACTCAAAAACAAGTTGGTACGCCACTGCATTATACAAAAGACAGTCTGCAGCCAGAGGCCTGATTCCTGAAGCTTTCTTTCGACAAAAAAAATTCGTAAATTTATCTTACGACAAGTTACAAACTTTTCAGTATTCCCGAAGCAAAATGTTCGTAAGTTTTGCGTAAGTTACGGATTTCGTCGTAACTTACGCAAAACTACTGGCGAGCGTAAGTGAAGCTAGTTTTTGGAAATCCTAGCAACCGTTGGAGTACAAAAAAGATGAGAAAATAATTTGTTTTTCCTGGGACTTTTTTTTTTTAATGGAAAAAATGAAAATTTATTTCAGGTGCACGCTACGAGTTCGACGCTATTAGAATCTGCGGGAATATAGCGGTTCAAATTTATGATGGCGCTGGGAACTCAAAGATATTGCAAAGCTTGTTTATTGCAAAGGTTGTCCACGGTATGACGGGATTAGAGAGGAATAAAGTATAATTTTCCGAGGTTCTATTTAGTATTAACTAGTATTGTAATATCGCCTATTATCATCTTCGCGGAGATAATAATTATGTCTACAGTTTTTCGGCTGGAACAAATGTTTTACGCCGTTTTGCTGAAAACAGCCGAGATGTGGCGCGAGGGGCGGATGTCTCAGAATCTCGAAAATAAGTACCATCTATACTCGTAAGAAGAAAGTTTTGCGCATTGTTCATACGCCTCGTGATGTAGTTATTACAAGATTTGGTTGTCCGAGGAAGAAGCGATGCTTTTGGCGTTTGAAACGTGCACGTCTTGATAAGGTAATATATATCTAATCTAAAATGTATCTAAACATATCTTATTTCTCTATGTAAAGGAGCAAATGTAATACTCCGCGCTGTGTCTGTGTGTTTTCTTTTACTGGTCCTTCGTCTTTCTGCGCTGTTTTAACCCATTCAATATGACCTGTATAAGCGAAGCCAAAATAATAAAACGTTTCAACCTTCCAATAGTACACACATAGAGGGGAGGCGAAACGATAACTGGTGACGGTTACGCTTAAATCCTAAATGTATTTTATTGGTGCGGCGACGGGAACTCAATGTTTCGCCGTACTGGAAGCGACGATATTTCAAGATGGCGGCACCCTTGTGAAAATGTCTATAGAGTCACTGACAGAATGAGAACGGCAGGGCGTGTCTTTCGAATTTCCTACCTCCGGCCCGTGATTCATCCCTTCCGCTGGGCCCTTAGCCTCCTCTATACTCACAAACGGTCGCAGATGTGGAGCGCGAGGACCTGGTAGCACAGAGCATCAAAGAGCCATTTCTCGGAGAACCTGGTCGTCAGCGCACATCTTTTGTAGCGGCGAGGACTCGAAATACACTTGTTCGCTCGGGAGAAGTGTGTTTCGGCGCCTCGCCGCAGCGGGGCGCCAGTACGTGGCTCTCTTCTCATCCATTGTCTGCCCCTCCAACTTTTCTATTTCGGCGGCCGCTTCTCGTGGCGATTTGCCAGGCTTTGTCAATACATAGGACGATATGACTGGGCTTTGACTTCGCGCGCTCCCTCGATATGCAGAAGGCGCCAAAGCCTTGTCCCAGGTTGGAAGCACGCGTTAGAGGCTGGACAACTGAAGTTGTCCGGGCTCTGCCGTTTTAACCTTGTCAGTGACTATAGCATACTATATACACCAGGGGTCTCAAACTCATTTGAGTGTAGGCGCCAGATAGCCCACCCCCAAAACGTCGGAGTCCAACATAAGGGAAGGGGGGAGAAGGGTGGGTACATATATATTTGTTTTAAAAACAGCGATGGCGCTTTACGTTGGAACGCGGCTGAGTCTTTTTTTCATCATGAATGTGTCATTATGTGTCCGCGTGCTTTAAGTCATTAATGTGTCCGCGTGCTTTGGTATTTCGTTGTTGTGGTTCATCGGCGCCAGACTTGCCCGTTACTTGAAAATTGTAATGAATTACAATCACAAATTACCGAGTGTCAAATGTGATGGATTACCGTTACAAATTACTGTCGCTGAAAGTAACGGATTACTTTACTCGTTACGTTACAAATTACTTTCACGTTACGTTTCCCGTACGCTCATCAAGAAAACAATAGAAGCAATTTTGATGTTTTCAAAACTGTCCCGCAACACTATTTTTCATTTGTCATACGCTCGGATTAGGATAGTCCTTGTAAAAATAAAATGTTGTATTTAAGAGTAAGGATGTCTTTGACCTCCGTTCACCTCTAAGCTGACAAGGCAGCGAGAGCTGGGAACACACCCGCCATTCCGCTAGCATACGGCGATAGAAAACGATCCCTGAAATTCTGCAAATAGAGCTAGCGGTGCGCATGCTCAGTAGCAGCGTTTACCTCCACTAGAAAATCAAAAAGACAACGCCTACTCGGCGTTGTCTTACTTTATCTTTGTCTTCCGCATATTTGTACATGCCTTGCAGGCTTGTCTGTCGGTTCTAGTTGCCGGTCATACAAAAAATCGTGTTTTATTTGAGGCTATTCTTCTCTTCACAGTGCTTTCTATTTTGTTAAACTTGCTCTCTTTACGCAGCTGAATGTTCTACCTATATTGCTCCAGTTACTGCATTATGCTCATATTTTTTTAAAAAGTAACGAGTAATTAAAGTAATCAGTTACCAATATTCTGTAACTAAATTACATTACAAATTACTGCCGAAAAAAAAGTAACGTGGCAATTTCAAAATTACTTAAAAAAGTAAAACCGGTAACTTGTAACCAGTTACTTGTAACGGATTACTTCCCAAGTCTGATCGGCACTCACCGAGAGCGGGAGCGCAGACAATCCAGGCTATTTCTATACAGTATATATTCAGTGTGTTTTCCGGAACGCTGGCCAAATCGTTGCTGCGAAAAGTACGCGTCGTACAGAAGAAATGCTAATGTCGTATTTCATTCCACCAAGGCGCCCATTTGAGAAAGTTAATAAGGTTCGGTATAATTTTTCTATTAATTACTTTTGAGTAATTGGCTTTTTTTAATTGGTAAATTCAAAGAATAGGTTTAGTTAGACAATTACTGGGCATCGTGGAAAATCACTAAATCAACTCAATTCAGTAAGATCTAATAAACGTACAGCATTTACGACAATAAAAAGTTATACAAATTATACGTATAGGCCTTATATATTTATGATTAGGCGATTTCGTTTCATTCAAAAGCGTTATTCCTTTATTCTTGCTTGATAAGTTCGGTTTATTGATCTGCATCCGCATCTTTCAACTGTTTCCTTCTTTAGAGACGACGAAAATGCAAAGGAGGTGATGAGCTAGAATGTGCAGACGACGACCAGGCGGGTCAGTGAGTACATCCCCAGTATCACACTTTGTTATGTGAGGTCCCCAGGATGTCCTAATGCTTTGGTGATGCCCTATGAACGTCCACAGGACATCCTAAGGACACTCAAAGAACTAAGTGTGCTACTGTAGGGATGTCAACACCTCTACTGCCGTTCTGACCCTCCAATACTCGTTGCCTGATAGACCGCGTGTTCTGTACTGCCTGGTCGTAATTCGCGCATTCCAGCTCATATGGCTAGCCACTGTACCGTACCGCAATGAAATAGTCGACGATGGGAGCGTAACCGGGACCTCAAGCCACCACGAGCGAACCCGAGAAATCGGCGGCTCGCAACGCTGTTCGTGACAGCGAACGTAACCGTCGAATGTCGGCACCAATAACTGATTTATTGTGTTTTTCCCCCGTGAATTCGAAACAACAACAAACAAAAAGCATAATAGCATACTCCGGAAGCGATCTCTAACTGAATTTTGTCTCTCCCTCTCTTTCTCTCTGCCGCAGGCCTAGATCGGAAGCCGATTCTCCAGAAGCCACAAATTGACGGGCTGTCGCCTCAATAAAGACAGAGCGATTCCGTAACCACCGCGGCGTCGACGCCACATCACTCCATCACCGCTTCCCAACGTGAGTGTATTACAACTCTTCGATCACGCCGCCGGACGACAATGACTTTCGAACGCACACACGCGCGGGAATCGGTTCGGAACGCCGTTATGCAAGAGTCGGCGGTGTTTGCTCTTTTCCTTCCAGAGCGATCACCCTCGGGGAACAATGGGTTGCCCAGCAGCTGCGGCGGCAGCGCTGTGGTTGTGCGTCGTCCTGATCGCCGTGACGAGGGGTACGTCGCTATCTTTCTTTCGATCTAAATTCGCTGGAAGCCAACAACGAGCCGCCGCGAAGTGCTCGTTGGTGGTGGTAGCATAAAACTGACACCACCGTTATAGTAGTATCATTTTTGTTTGGGCATATGGGCTTGTACGAGGGTACAGCTTTTCTTGGCAATGCAGTAAAAGGGGTAAGGGTGCGCGTGCGCTTTCCTCCTTTCCTCGGAAATGCTAATAAAAATTGTCTCGAGTTATAGTACCGTCACCTTTGTTTTCAACATTACGTCAAGTATCATTTTATGGTCATCTCAGGATGCGGAGTATATTTAACTTTGTAGATGATAGTGCTTTGCTATAATGCCGTGCGAATTGTTCCCTAGGTATTAAAAAAAGGGATTCAGTATAATCTCACTTTTATGACGGAATAGTTTATTCGAGCTAAATTAGACGACAAAGCTAATATGATCATAGCTGGTGATGTCGAATGCGAAAGCAAGAACACAAATCAAAATACTCTGCGCAGGTGACTTTCACACTAAAATCGAGAAAATATTTCAAAACAGTTTTAAAGCGGTAATTTGTTCTAAAATGCCTGTTATGCCTTCTTGAGGCTACAGGAAATAGCGGCGTTATTCACTTAATATCCTTCTTTCGAGCACGGTGACAATTCCGAAGTGCGAGAGTACAAGGATAAAATAGAAAGCTGCGAAACCAAGATGCCTTCGAAGAGCCACGTGTAACCTGAACTTCTTTCCCCGGAATCGCCTTAATAATCCATTGGATACGCCGTTGCTCGTCGGTTAGGAAAGAGAATGTGTGGACCTTACGTTCTCTGCAATAATTTCCCCGGTACCAAGGCACGCAACACTTATAAGGCACTGATCCTCACAATCGCACACATGAAAGCACTTAAGATTCTGGTCGCCGACGGACCCAGCGAATACGCGGGCGTCTTGTCTCTGCATTTCGAATGGCTTTCTATACGCTGTCCAATTGCGTACCTTATGACAGACTTTGCATCGCTTGCGAGCTGCCTGCAGTCTGATAAAGTTGCGTCGTCACCTCGCGCAATCTTCAGCTTAAGTCTGAACGCAGCCGACGCTACGAGGTAATGGCAGCAATCAAGCGGCATCCAACCCGTTTTCACGTTAATGTATACCATAGTAAAAGAAGTCCGGCTCCCCGCGGCGCATTACTGATTTCCCCCTTTATCTAGAGAATTACGATATATATAGGTGAATTGTAGATTAGATATATCCTCTATTATCAAGACGTCGCACACGTTCCAAACGCCAAAAGCATCGCTTTTCTATCCGACAACCAAATCTCGTAAGAAATATGCTTCGCGCCGCGTATGAACAATCCGCAAAACTTGATTTTTTCTTGAGGTGAAAACGGGCATAGGCCTTTTCTGCGTACGATTGGTTCAGCACTAATAGAACACGTTCCATAGAAACGTGACGAACACCGCGATGGAGCATTTTTCACGCCGTCTGATTGGTCCCCTCAGGTCGTAGCGTCGGCTGCCTGTGACTTTAAGGGAAACGAAGTTTAGGAGCAGTGACGTAGCTGACGTAACAAACCGAAGCGCTCAGGCTTTAGTTTCTAGGGGCTCCAGACTCGGTCGAACACAAGGTTGGAGCCGAAAGTTCGCGGAGCGCGCCTACGCAGAGAGCAAGTTCGTCTGCTTCTTTGGCAGGGGTTGTGCTAGAGTCAGAACACCTAGCTCTTAGTGGCTGATTTAAAATGAAAAAAATACTGGGTGTCCCATGGAGCGGCCAGGCTCTTTAAATCGACCGCAAAATTCGGTTTCTTAACCCATCGCGCTACGAGTTTGTGCAGCGTTGCCCCCAGATGGTGCTTTTTTTTTTCTTTTTTTGCTTTTTTTGTTGTAAAATTTAAAAAGAGCGAACTTACTTGAGGAAAAAGTAAAGAAACAAAAAGGCTTATCTCCTATGGAAACGCAGAGAAGCCAAGTTCGAACCATACTACGCCGTTTCGCACGGGAGACAAGAGATTGCGCAAGCGGTCGCGACGCCAACTGCCACCAACGAACGAGCATAGCGCCAAAAGCGGCGCGCGTTTCGCAGGCGGCGACAGTCGCTGAAACAAAAACAGGCTCGGTAAGAACAATGAACTGCAAAGCAGACGACATAAGTACCACGAAAAAAACAGTCAAAATAACCCGACAAATCATTTTCTTAATCGATTATGTGTCCATCCGATGTGCTTTATTAGTAAGAATGATAAAATCATGCATTGGCAACTGATATCAAATAAGCTAGCGCCGCTTTTGAATCGAAAAGATCGCCTGCAATAGACGCCGGCTCTCGGCGTCGTATGCTCGTTCGTTGGCGGCAGTTGGCATCGCGACCGCTTGCGCCATCTCCTGTCTCCCGTGCGAAACGGCGCCGTATTGTTTGAAGACCGGTGGCTTCGCTGCATTTCCATAGGAGCTAAGCCTTTTTCTTTCTTTTCTTTTTCCTCACGTAAATCGATCTTTGCAAATTTTACAAAAAGAAATGCATCATTTGTGGGCAACGCTGCACAAAATCGTAGCGCGATAGGCTAAGAAACCGAATTTTGCGGTCGCTTTAAAGAGCCTGGCCGCCACTTGGGACACCCAGTAGTGGGTAGACTTCAAGGCATCTAGCATTGAGGTCTATCCACTATCCTTTCAATCAAAGACAATGAGAGCTCGGGGTCGTCGTGACGTCACCGCAACTCATGCGCAAGGAGCAGACGACTTGTTCTCGGCATTGTATTTCGGCGGCAAGAGTACGGCGTCATCGTCGCGAGAGTTCGATCTCTTTGTTCGATGAGTCTATACTCTTTCACACCTTAGAAACCGTAGTACAAAAAAAAAATACTTTTAGCTTTTTTTTTATTTCAGTGAAAAAGGAAAAGCAGCGGAGCTGTAGCTTGTGTTCTCGGCGGTGGCTTTCCAGCCGAGCGATCTGCTCTTCTTTCGCAAGGGAATCTGAAGCGCTCGACGCAGTGGAACTTTCGGCGATAGCGGCCTCTTGGCGGTTGCGGAACCATCCGCGCTGCTGCACACGTCGCCGCTCGTTTCGTTCCCGCTCTTTTTCCTCTGAAGGAATGTTGCCGCTATCTATGAGCAACGGCAGCAAACAGTTGTCTGGTTGCCGAGGCTGGAAAGGTTGCAGCGACGGCGGCAAGCAGACAACCGGCAAACACAACACTCTGGACAGCTACCGGCGTCAATGAGCGACGGCGGCAACCGTAGTGTTGTGTCGATATTTGTTTGGTGCCGGACACGATCCTAGGGAAATTTGCCCTTAACAACTCCACCAGAAAACAACAAAAAAACGGCAGTTTTTTTTTTTAGTTTTAGCTATTTACTTTTTATGTAGAGAATTGAGATATGTGTAGATGCATTTTAGATTATATATAATATATATATATATATATATATATATATATATAGGATTTCTGGAGCACAAACGAGCACGTTCCACGTGACACTAAGCGTCGTGTACCGCGTTCCACGCGGCGGCGTGTGTTTCCACATATTCGTTTATATCCTCCTCGGAGACCACGTACGATGATGTGAAGTGCCCGTGTTGTATGTTCAATAACGTGGCTCTTGATTCTCGCAGATGATGATGATACCGTGTCTCTAAAGCTCATAAACAAAGAATACTACATGTACGCGAGACGGGACAAACAGTGGGAGGATTTCTGGAGCACAAACGAGCACGTACTACGTGACACTAAGTGTCGTACCGCGTTCCACGCGGCGGCGTGTGTTTCCAGAACACCTCCGATTGGATACATTCTTTTCTTGTGCATTAATAAGACAGGTAGGAAACGCCAGAAAGCCAAGGTGGAGTGGTGTAGAGGTTAGCACACCCGACCGGACATTGGGAGGCCCAGAGTTCAAATCCTGGCTCCGCCGTTTTTTGGCTTTCGGCGGGTTTCTGAAAACTTCAATTCTTTGATTCATTGGATTAAGTACGGTTCATTCATCTGCACATATTCGTTTATATATATATATATATGTATAGGATTGTGTGTGTGTGTGTGTGTGTTCCCTTATCCAGACGTATACATTTAAAACGCCAAAAGCATCGCTTCTTCCTCCGACAACCAAATCTTGTAGAACCTATACTTCGCGCAGCGTTTGAACAATGCTCAAAAATTCCACTTTTTCATGAGATGGAAGCGAGTATAGAGCCCTATCGGTGTTGCTCCAGCGCGAGTTTCCCTCCTCCGACAACGGTTCGGCGTCGACGCTTCGGCGTGAGACGCTTCGGCGTGAGACGCTTCGACGTCCCACTCTGTCAGTGACGTGCGGAGCGTAAGTTCGTCTGCTTCTTCCACAGGGGTTTGCGATGAACTCAGAACGCCCGGCTCTTATTGGCTGATTGATAAAATAATGGGCAAACCTCGAGGCATCTAGCATTGAGGTCTAATTACTATCTTTTTGTAAAAACCTATCAGAGCTTGGTGCCGTGCTGATGTCACCGCAACCCTTGCGCAAGAAGAGGACGACTTGCTCTCCCTATAGTCCACAATATGCACGAACAAAGGCTGCGCGAACAACGTAAATCAATAATTATGATGTTTCTTCGCATTATTCCGACTTTTTTCTTTATTTCCTTTTCACGTCCCTCTCGTAAATCAAGCGTTGCTTCGTATGCAGTTAACCTTATTCTAAATGTGCTTAATCATCAGCGAAGCAGTCCGTACGCGTCAAAGGAGGCAGCCGATTAAACTACTCGGACTCGCCATCGCCAGTGCTCGCAAAGAGAATGGGCTCGGCCACAAAAATTAATTAAAATCCTGTTGTTGTTGTATTTGTTGTGTGTTTGTTTTCTTAGAACAAAAACGGTGGTATTGTTTGTTTGTTTTTTTTTTTTTTTTTAGAGTTATTACGCGGCTTTGACTGGCAGAACACCATATGAAGGGGAGGGGGGTGGAAATTTCCAGGGTGTGGGTGCTTTAGTAAATCGCTTTGGGCGAAGACGCCCTTCGTTAACGAGATTCGAGGGTCATGGTAGCGAGACCCACAGGCCACGACAGCCCGGATCTTCGGGTGTAAGGCCGCCATAAGCGAGAGCGTGTCCTATTTTAATTATACCCACAGAACGCGATATATCTGCTACAAAGAAACCATCGGTAATGAACTGATTTCATTACTGGGTCGCAAATGAAACGTATAGCCTTGCGAAATGATTCTAAACGAGGTCATACTCGTAATATTGAATATTTACCTCATAGCTTGGACATCAATAGTCACCCAGCAACGATGTGGATACTTCGGATCCAAGAGTGACACTGAGCTGAAAAATAAATCGTCTACTCACTGACTTATGTTCTGCATGTATCGAAACACTTGGAAATGCTGGGTCTTTTAGATAAAAGAGAACCGTGTTTTCTTCACCGCAAAAATAAACTAGGCATCGCCCGCTGTACGATCAGTCTCCACCGGATGCCAAAGTTTTAAAACTTGCCGTTATATACTTTAAAAGGTTGTAATCTATTTGGAAACATTTTCAATTATAAAATGGCGGCCAGCAAAGCCCGTGAATACATGGAGATGAATGGCAAACGCTACCGAGGAAACGCGGCCCATTTTCTAACTAAAAATTTCAAAAGCTTCATGTTTTTGTTGTTGTTTTTGTTGTTTTGTAATAAGGTAAGGGTTGGCTCTGAAGGTTTGGCATCTAGCCCAGACCGTTAACGCTAAATTGGGGTAGAGGCTGAGCATACGGCAATGCGTCGTTTATTTCTTCGGCGAAAAAAACACGGTTCTCTTTTCTTCCAAACACCCTCTACTTCCTGTCCTCGTCCATTTTCAAGAACGGCCTCCGATGGTTGTACAAAGAAAGTGTAGCCAAAGGGCCGCTGCACCCACGCTGTTATTTGTCACAGCGTAACCCGTGAAAGTCCAGCTTGTCAAACAAGTCCCGTTTACTGTAAAAGCGAAGTTCCCTTGATCGATTGACTGAATGATGGATGGCATTTGTAAACGCGAAGAACTAGGACCGACGACCACAGACCTCATTCATTCTTGTTGAAACAACAAAACAAAACGTGAAAAAAAAAAAAGATGAATATGTTGTAATGTTTTGCAAAGACCACAAACTGAAACAAATATTCTACACTAAAAGAAGACAACACTTTTCCTCTTTGTAGCACTTTGAGGCAGTTATACATGGACGCAACCATATAACCTCCTTCAGCTTTTTGTTTGTCCTTATCGCTTCATATTGTCTTGCATATTAATTTCACGGTGTGGACGTCACCAACGTATACAGGGTGCTTCACGAAAAGTGGACCAATTCGATATTGCGAAAACTACGCGTTGCAGCAAAAAAGGCTTGTGTCGTTTTGGTCCTGGATTAAAGTTTGGGATAATTAAATTGTTAATTATTTTGGCGTAATTAATTGTTTTAGTATTGTGTTTCATGATATGGTTTAAATTAAAAAATTGCTCAGCATCATCGAAAAGCACTAAATCAACAAATTGCAGAACGATAGAAGGCACGAGCAGCATTTTACAGCTTTCTGAAAAACCACGAAAATTCGAAGGGTTTTTAAGTTTCGGCTTGCTATCGGAGCGCAGCTCGGCCCCGACGGCACCGCGCCCCGTGGAGAAATAGTGCAACCAGCCTCTGCTGCGTTGCGCGAGGACAGCGCAGCAGAGGTTGGTTGCACTATTTCTCGACGGGGCTCGGTGCCGTCGGGAGCCGAGAAGCGCTCCTATTGCAAACCGAAACTTAAAAACCCTTCGAATTTTCGCGGTTTTTTCAGAAAGCCGTAAAATGCTGCGCGTGCCTTCTAACGTTCTGCAATTTCTTAATTTAGTGTTTTTCGATGATGTTGAGTAATTTTCTAATTGAAACCATGCCCTTAACCACAATATTAAAAAAGGTAATTACGCAAAAATAATTAACAATCTAATTATCCCGGACTTTAAGAATTTTCAAATAGGCCCCTGACCCAGGATCAAAACGACGCAAGCTGTTTTTGTTGCGACGAATAGTTTTCGCAATATCGAATTTTGTCACTTTTCATGAAACACCCTATATACGATTTCTGTTTGTCGTCGCCAGATTCAGTCACTCGGCACCTCTGCATGTCCCTGAAAGGGTTGTAAGTTGTAACTAACTGGTCGATTGATTGATTGATTGATTGCGCCAGCTAGGCGGCGCTGCGGGGATCCATTAGTGATCACGTATGTGTGAAGGGAAATCTAGGAAATATTGCCAGAAAGCGATTTTTGGGATGGCCTACATAATGCGCTGCCAGGGCAGCGATGCCGGTATTTGATCGTAGATCGTCTCGAATTGTTATTACTTGTGCCTTCGAAGCTGCAGGGGCTATAACTTGGCCGGGTGGCGACTGCTATCCCGGGGCTTTAAGTCGGACACTGGGTGAGAAAGTTGGCGAGATGTCTGTAACGCGCGTTCCACCGTATTCGAAAACGGAAGTCGCTTCAAAAGTACCCTTGGAAGAAATTCTAATGGTACTTTGGCGTCCGCCATCCGACTACCATTATACTTAGAAGAAAAGGGGGAAAGGTGCGTGTGTGTATGTATGTATGTGTGTGTGTGTGTGGGGGGGGGGGGGGGACTTCCTGAAACGTTTGTTTCGGCCGTGGTCAATAACAGAGTCTTGTGTTCTCCGCTTCTGCTTTGTGTGGGGCAACGTGCGAAACACTACCGTTTTTCGTTACCCTGGTTTCGAAGTGTAGGTGTTAAACATGCTGGCGACGCAGCGCAAGAATTCATCCAGTTCAAACTATTCGACCATTACATTTACATATTACACCCGAATGTCTGTGCAGGAGAGGCTGTTCGCTGCTTCGTCTGCAGCTGGTCGCCCAGGGACCAGGCCAACCGGTCGGATCACTGCACCCACGCAAACTTCGATCCGGAGAAGAACTTCGCCCACGACTGCGAACACGGCTGCGAGTTCTACTCGCAGAATGACCTCAACGGTAAGAAAAAGAGAAAGAGCGATAGCAAACATTTATTGTGTGTAAGGCCTGCGCCTCGGTCCGGGCGGCCCGTGTAGCCCGTCACTCCGACGGACTCCGCAAGAGTACCAGAGGGGTCAACGAGTGCTAGAAGAGTGCGGTGGGCTTACGTCGGTGCCCAGGGGAAAAGCCAGCCATTCCTCCCACAAAACCGTGTGCGGGACGAGTGGGTGAGGTACAGGACCTCTAGGTGCGAGAGATTGAAGGGTATCCTCCGTGACTTAAGGCCGGTGGGCTAAACTAACACCACCTGAAATAATCAAAGCCTGAGTGTTTTAATTTTGACGTCATCACAGTGGGATCGAGCGAAGACGCTGATTGGGCACGAGTGCTGCGTCAGCGTTCGGTTGGGCCTCGTATCCAATCACCGTTATGAATGGAGCTCGGGACCTGAAGATGAGGATGCTTGAGGGCCTTGAATACCCAATGTGGCGTTGGCCAAACTGTGAGTTTCTGGTGGCTCGTGTGAAACAAAGAGAGAAGTCATAACCACGTTGCGAAAGTTTTCGGGTTACTTGTAAGCCTGTAGAGTAAATAGTTCCCCCATTGAAGATGCTCCATATTCAATCTCCCAAACAGGTGACTTCGAGCACGTCAGGCGAAACTGCGCGCCGTCGGACCCACCCCACAAGGGCTGCCTGAGCGAATCCAGTCGTGCCTGGACCACGGTGCGCTGCATCTGCAACTCCGACTACTGTAACGCGGCCCCCAAGCCCACGTCCATCTCGCTGGTGGTGCTCTGGACGACCCTGACCTTAACTCTGGCGGCTGTCATCCGTCCACATCTCCCGACCTGAGTCAGCACGTCTGCCGATTTGAGTCAGCACGTTGGCGACGCAATCGCCAGCCATGCTTACCGCTGATCGCACAGCAAACAAAGCGTTGTACTCAGCAGCGCCCGAGCTCACCGCGTCACACCGCAGCACCGTTCCAGGACGTGTCCCACCTGGACGCCGTGCAAGAACTGTTCCCGCTATGTTTCTCACCGCCGTCATTTTATCGTCAGTCCTTCTCTATGGTTGTTGTTGCTGTTAACGATGATGATGATGATGTCGAATAAGGGAGGGAGCCTCGGTTTTGTTTTGGGCTCGCCGCGACTGGACAAACATTTGGCCAACTCTTTTCGCATATTAGACAAACGCATTTCTATTGCTACTGACAGTCTCAGGCTTTAATGGTTGTGCTAACGGATCCCAAGTTCGTCACCGGTTTGCCAGACAGTAGCATCACAGTGGACTCAACTAGAAGTCTTCATCATGTATGTGCTAAAAGAATTGGCCTACGTTTCACCAAGTGGGGCTGTGTCGTTAGCCAAAAAACGCACCGGTTGTCCGCGAACATGCTACGAGCATTCAGTTGTTCATTTCAGACTGCGCGTTCTACGTTCAGAGGCATTGGCGGGTTGGCCGCATAATGACACTATGTTTGCGTCTTGTAAACTAGACGCGAACAAATACACTTCGTTTGGCTCGTGTTTGCGGACAAAAGTTGGTCAATCGTTGGCACAGTATGGGCGCGCTCTGTCCTTTATATCATTTTTTATTGTTCTGTGGTTGTTTCGTGAACTTTCATGCTTATTTATATGTTTCCTCTAGTTCATGTCTGCGTTGGTGTCGTGGCGTTTAAATGACTCCTTGGAACCTCAACATGAAGCACAGGGAAGGCTGCGAACTTGCTTAAGAATTAGTAAGTTTTGTGCCTAAGCTCGAACGCAACATATTTCTTTAGCCTGACAGTAGCTATTTGCAAGCATAAGTTTGAGTCAAAATAAGTGTTTTATGATAAATGACGAACTGAAATATGAGGTTGTTGAATTCAAGCCAATTAGTTGTCTCCAATCCTTTACTGCGTTCATTAGGCAAAAGCGAAAGCACAGATCTTCGATATTTTAACGCTTCTTAGCTTGTTAGCATCACCATTCATCAACGTGTGCAATCGCATAGGTTAATGGGCATTTTCTATCATTGTATAAAATAGATGACCTTACACAGCAAGCTGTAACTGCGTCTGAACAGAAGGTCTCGAACCATAACCAGTCCTTGGGCTTACCACGGCCCGAAAGAGTGCCTTGACGGCTGCAAAGATCCTCAGAGTTTACACGGAGTCAAAGTCGAGCACTACATCGAAGATGGACCGTCTTGGATTTAAGGAGATTGAGAATATATGCTCGCCAATCCCCCCAACCAAGGGGTGGGGGGTGGGGGCTCTAAGCACGTTTTAAAGGAATAGCCTACAAAGAAGCGTGTTAGATAAGCCAGGCACCTGTTGTCACCGATGATAATTCACTGTACGAAAAGAAGTATACCATACCACTATACCTCGGACGCAGTGTAAAACTGAGCAACGCATTTAGTTCTGAATACCTTACACGGATATATGTTATATATCTAGCTTGCATACTTATTGAGATTAATAGCTGACTTTTCAAATCGTCATCTCGCCCTGTGTGCCACAAACCCTTCGTTCTAATATACGAGTCCGCGAAACCCAATGGCATATTTAGGTAGGAATCAAATCAATGTTCCATTGAGACTTTATGGTTCTTAGATGAGAACGTTTAGCGGTCTGGAGCCGAAGAATACAGAGTCTATTTTTAAAAAGCAACAAGAGAACAAACTGTTTTCCAAATGTTATATTTTGTCGAAGTTCGTTTTGTGAGATACGTGGGCAAGAAATATCTGAACTCTCTTTCGGACAAAACGACTCTGTGCGGTGCCAAGCGAGCCATATATCACCTGAAAATTGAGTTCTCGATTGTGTAAAGACATTTTCAGTTTTTACTGTGTGCTCTCTAAACGCCATCAGCTATTGAGCAAATCCTATCGACGAGTCGTATTGTCTTCTTACTGTTGCAGAGGCAGGTTAGTCACAGTGACGCATTCAACAACACGTTTTTCTTCTCTTAAATGCCGCGAAAGTCAACACTGCCTTTAGTATATATTGATATTCCGAATTCCACCAAAAGCACCCAATGTACATAGAAGCTTGTGAGTTGTATATTGCGATATAAATACGGAATATTTAGGTGCACCTTGACAATGTTATTCTTAGGCGACGCATACAGCGTGTTCATTCAAAGTACTCAAGTTTCTTGAATATTATGATTGCTATAATAGAATTCACGTGCCACAGCCGGAAACAAAGACAACCCACTCATCAACTCGTGACTTTGGTGTTAATTTAAAATTCGAGAGTGCGTAATCGAATTAGGGGGACGAGTTTACAAAGCGCCAGCGATGACTTCATCGGCGTGATGAATGAAGGATTAAATACTGCTGAATCTTTTTAATTGCGCGGTTGCTAGCTCCGCCTGCTGGGTGTGCAAGGTACATATAGTACGCCTGGTGGCGTGACCCGAATATCGCCGCCATGCATGTAGGTGTACTTCAGATCCGTATTCGGAAAAGCTTGTAGAGTCCCAAGCAGCACAGGGTTGGCCAATCATTGGCCAATGGCTGGCAATGGTCCTTGGCCAAATGGCCAGACAGTGGCCAGAGACTGGCCGGTGACTGGCCTTTATCTGGCCATTGGCCAATGGCCACTGGCCATCAGCCACCGGCCAAGCATTGGCCGATGAATGGCCACTCTCTGGCCACTGGCCAAAAGACCATCGCCAGACACTGGCCATTGCTTGGCCAAAATCCGTGCTGCTTGGGGTAAGTCCATAGGGCCAATTCCTGGCAATCTGGCAAGCATTTATGTACACCACGACGCTGTGCGCCTTTCCAAAGGTCTAAGGCGTTCAAACAGGCCAATCAGGGCTACCGAATTACCCTATGGGCTTAAGGCGCGTTCACACTCTTGCAACCGAGTACGACCGAGAAAGACTTCTTGGGACCGGATGCGCTGAGCGGAGCTGGTCCTAAGAGATCGCAAGGGGCTTAAAAACCGGTTTGGTCTCTCTCGGTCGTACTCGGTTGCAAGAGTGTGAACGGACCTTTACTCCACAAGCTTTTCCGAAGATGCGTCCGGGCTGTCTGCACCAGCCTCTGAGAAGGTATTTCTAATAAACCAATTTGTCTCGGCACAACCTTTCATCGATGCAATGACCGCGTTAGGATAAGTAGCGTAGTATGCGGCTAGCTCAGCGAGAAAGCAATCACTGGCGGGTGTGTAATTTGATACACGCAGTCGATAAGTGTGGCGCCCCCACCTGGAATCTCCGGTTACCCACAATTTGAGTCCTCAGTTTCACGAATTGGGGCGGTGGGCCGCATAATGCAGGCGCATCTCTAAAACAAATTTATTTAAAGCCTGTAGGTGTTCATTGTTCCTGAAAAGAGTGCTCCTGTAGCCTAATGTACATAGTGTCCTACGTACCGGTGGTGTTTGTCTCGGCCGTTCACCTCACGCCAGTGTACAATAAAAAGCCCTGTAATTTACCTCGGCTGCCGCCGATCATGATGTCTTGTGAGTTTTCTGGTTTTTGTTATTATCACTTTGTGTTTGTGAGCTTACAACTACGGACATTTACAATGCATAATGGCGTATATAACATCTTAGCACCATTAGTTCGGACATCAGACAATCTGAAACAGTAGAACGTGTCGGTTAAACATATTCTGAATATCGAGTTCAATGAACTATGATTAAAGTTCCGTGTTTTCAATATTTCATTTTGAAGCGGTTTTGTTAGCGTCGTCTATACCATTACGCTAATCACACCATTCATTCCAATGTGAAATGTATTACCCGAAATCAAGCCCACAAAGTGGATGAAAACATGGCGCAAAAAATGAACTGTAGAAGGGTGGTGAGAATTCAATTAACATGTGGTAGAACGTATGTGGGACAGACAGAAAAATGTGTTAATTATAGGCCACGTGAACATAACCTGTCTATGATGTCAACGGTGGGCGGTCACCCGCCTCTGCAGTGCACTGTCGACATGTAATCAAAATCTGGCCAGCACCGCTATCATCGGTCGATATGAGGAAACACTTTCCAGAGAAATTTACGATGCAGATATTATACAAGGTTCGGGGAAGCGCTGCATGAGCTATCCTTCTGTTATACTATCTGAAAAGGAAGCTTTGTTTTTAAACGCTTCGATGCGCTGAGGCTGTCTCCCCGCGCCCTAGAGTTCTCGTGCCATGAGCACGTGCCTGTTGGTTACGTGTCGTCTTCTTTCTTCTACTTTCAGGATGAAATATTGAGTTGAGTTCAGCGACTATCCTGTCTCATGTACTCTTCTACTGGGTGTGTCAAGTAGCGGCCAGGCTCCTTAAATCGACTGCAAAATTGGGTTTCTTAACCTATCGCGGTAAGATTTTGTGCAGCGTTTCCCGCAGGTGGTGCATTTTTTCTATGAAATTTGCAAAGACCGAACTTACCTCAGGAAAAAGTGAAGAAAGAAAAAGGCTTAACTCCTATGGAAACCCAGCGAAGCCAACCGGTCTTCAATCAATAGGGCGCCCTACTGTTTGAAGACCAGTGACTTCGCTGCGTTTCCATAGGAGTTAAGACTTTTTCTTTCTTCACTTTTTCCTCAGGTAAGTTCGCCCTTTGCAAATTTTATAGAAAAAATGCACCACCTGCGGGAAACGCTGCACAAAAACGTACCGCGATAGGTTAAGAAACCGAATTTTGCGGTCGATTTAAAGAGCCTGCCCGCTATTTGAAACACCCGTAAGTTTCCTTCGCTGATCTCCACTATAGGGGGCTGGATCGTGCATGGCTGCTCTCCGAGCTTGCCGCAAGTGAAGCCACCGGAAGTTCAATGCTTGTCCCCGAAGTTGGGCATGTGCTGGGCTTCCTAGTGTTTTCAGTCGATAATTTGGTCCATGCTTTTTTGAGTCTTTGACACGGTTTTAATACTCCCGTTCTGAATTAAATCCCGAGAATAGGGCATTTGAACGTGGAACATACGCACACTCGATCAACTAGAATCTAAAAATTTTACATCGAATGGCTTCCCAGGAGACTTCTCGGGTCCGCATGCGCAAGAAAAATCCAGCGCCCTGAACGCTGTTCGATCCAGCACTCGGAAGAGTTGAAAAGCCTGCCAAGGGCTTACTTCCGGGACAAGCCGCTTACTTCCGGTGGCTTCATACCTGTCTGCTCAATGTGCCATTCAGCCCCCTAAAGTGGAGAGCAGTGGTTTCCTCACGTTGCTCGCTGACTTTAACCATGTCTCGCGCAAAATAATTAACGGCTTTGAAAAGAAAACATTAAGAGCGAGCTTAGTACATAATTTGAGAAATGCACTCGATTACCTTTTATTCATGGAGAAGTAACAACTTACCTGCGTATATAATAACTTCATAAAACTCACAAACAGTATAACACAATCAGAGCTGAAATAAGTGCTGGACGTCCAGTGCTTGTCGTTTCTGTTGTTTTAACTAAACCTTCAAAATAATCGACCTACACTAGACCCACTAAATAAGCTATGCTTCGAGCATCGGCCCTCTGTTCCCTGATCGCCTCGTGGGCACCGCCATCTTGGGGCTTCGTGCAAAACAGACAATAGTTAAGATTCGAAAATGACTTTCTGAGCCTTGATACAGTGTTGGGAAGCGCAGATGGTAGTGTGTTTCCTTGTTGCGGACTGTTCTAACATTTGCAGAGGACGGGAAAGTGTTTCCTGCGATTTCACATAAAGTTTCAGATGACTAGAAGCAATGAATTTAAACACCAAGGCTAGGTGACGCAAGCTACCGTCCGCTATAAAAAATACAGCCGTTAGCATCCATTCATCCATCTATCCATGACAGGTGTCGTTACTCTAAAGCGTAGCTAAATTATTGTCTCCAACATGCGCATATCTGATTTTGCGGCAACTACCACTAACCGAACAATCACGCACAAATTAAGGGACAAATTACACAACAAATAGAAATGTCTGTGTACCTTTCGTGTTCCTTACCTGTCCCCACACATGTACAGATTACTCAAGAAAGGTAGTTCAGTTAAGTTACTGAGTATCGACGGCAAAAGTAATTGGAGTAGAGTAGAAATTTCGCATTTGTAATTGTAATTGAGTAAACTACTAACTACTGTAAAAAAAAGCAGCAAGCTACTTTTGAAGTTACTTTCGAAGTTACTTTTTATATTTTTGTGGTAGCAAAATGACGAGCAGTTTTGATCCGTGAAAAACCCTGCGAGCCTAAAATAAATGCAGTCATTTTATGGCTTGCGTTTTCACCAAAATAGTTTATTCGCTCGCAGAAGCAATTGGCTTTCAAAGTGCTTATTGGAGAGTTTTCCCATTTTCCTTCTAAAGACGTGCCCAGCCAAGCTCAAAAGACGTTCCACCGACGCGCTGGATGGAACGACAGCGTTAAATTTCAGAAACAACCTGTGCAGAGTCGGGTAAGCGAGTGTTGGCATCTTCGGTGTCCATGACGAAACATGTGAGGTTTGCCTCGGCCTAGAGGGTCTTTTATAACAAACTCTCCTCTTTTTTTCTTTTTAATGCGAAAGCATTAACGTTCCCATGAAGCGAGCCGACGTCATCAGTTTGGAGCGCGAAAACGGCACCTAGTTTCTCTGATCCCAAAGGTCCCATTGGCTGGCGCGCGGCGACGAGGCTCCCATTGGCCGCTGCGCGCGTAAGTTTCAACGACCTCCGTCAGATGGCACTGCGTGTCCGTGCCGCCAGAGCGCCGATAAAACTAACCGCCGCAACTCCATGCCGCTACGGGCCCCGCGCCGGTTAAAAAACGACCACGTTGGCGCGCGCTCGGAGGCTTCTGCTCGTCTCGCCGCCGACGAACATGGCGCCGCCTCCATCATTCACATCGTCGGCGGTGCTTGTGCTTGTCTCGACGCCGACGAACATGGCGCTGCCTCTAGCATCCACATCATCGGACATTCATGCTTTCCCATTCACAATTCAGAAGAAGTGCTTAGGTGTCTTCCGACTTTTTCCTTCGGCATGACTGGACCCTCTTTATCTCCACGACGTTCGCAGAGTGCGCTGAGCGAGTGCACCTGACCGTCAAGGGTTCAAGTCTCGCGCCACGACAATGAGATTCTCCGGACGACTGAGCGGCTCGATGCGATGCTAATGCTACGCTACTAAAAAAAAAATTGTTTTGGTTTAGTGGTTTTCAACCATGGATGTTTCGCGGACCCCTTGTAGATCGGCGGAGATGGTGGAGGACCCCGTTCGTGGTGAAGGAAAGGGAAACGTATAGGTTAATTATGATATGATTTAATAAATTAATATAACTATGGGCTGTGTGAAGTAGACTTCTCTTCTTACAGATACACGAAAAAACTCACCAGAAAAACTAATGTTTCCTCTCAATCGGAGAAAATACCTTTTATCGCCGAGTTTGACTGATGAAACTGGGCTTTGCGGACCCCTAGAATGCCTTTGCACTCCCTTTGAGAACCACTGTTTTGTGGTTAAACAGAAAATAAAACGAAGTTTACTTCACCGCTGACCCCGGGACCGACAAAAGTATCTCGCAAGGGTGACTAGCAATCCTCACCGGCGACTACGGCATCCTGACGCGCCTGACACGCCTGGCGTGTGAATCGTTTTCTACAAAGAGGAGGCCTCCCTGGCGTGGAAGGTCGGAAGGACGCGAAGGATTACATCAACAAGCATCGCCGCTCGTACAGTCGCGGCTGGAAGGGGGAACGTGTTCACATAGACGGATTATCCGTGTCTGCGTTTGTGCGCGGGGGAGTCCGGCTTTGCGAGGCAGTATGCGCTGACGACGAGGCGACCATGAGAACAGCAGCCCAGATGCGAGGTCATTCCAGTGGAGCCTCCCGTGGAACCCCCAAACCGCTTGAGTCAGAATTGACTAAAGGCAGACACCATGAAAACAACAACAACCCACGGAGTGTCCCCGTCTTTCACGGTTGCATCTGGAGGCGCGGCGCCTGCGTGCATTACCGTATTATGTCTATACCCGACCAAGGCTTGTTAAAGGGGCACTGACACATCAAAATCATATTTTTTTTTTATTATCCGAAACGATTGAAAACGATGCCGGGACATTACCCTCAAAATTTGAAATTTGGGAATTCAGTATTTGTGAAGTAAAAAAACAATTTCCAAATGCCGAATTCGAAGTTCCCGCGCGATCGGCGCCGGTGCCTTGACGTCAAAAATCGCGGAGACCTGAGAGTCGACTTTCTTTCACCACTCCCTGCTGTTGCCATGGCGACCCAAAGCGAGGAGGAAAGGAGTGAGCGGCGGCGTTACGGCGGACCGGTTTTGAGCGGTGTCGCCTGTTTTCCGTTGGAGGATAGAAATCCAGGAGACGGCACCACAACGAACTCCCGATTTTTGGTATTTCAAAAAGAAGGGCCGTAGTGCGTTCGCAATTGCGTTAAAAAACATGTTTTACGATTGCCGTTATTAAATGTTATAGAGATGTCGCTTACAAAGCTTCTAAATTTCCTGATTTTTGACGTCACCGATCAAAAGAAGCGAGGAGGCGAGAGGCGGGAAAATCAAACGCCAAAAATAAAAAGGCGCGCGCGCGCGCGGGAAAATTTTTTTTCGCGATGCGGTTTTTTTTTGCGTGTCTATGACTGCAACTTGCAGCGTTTTAGACAATAAAAATAAATACGACCTTTGGGGTGTCAGTGCCCCTTTAAGCATCTCTTCCTGTGCTCGTGCGCGCCGGTGTTATGCTTTGGCCGCTCGTCGCCAGCTTAGCCCAAGGACGCCTGTGATGCAGTTTCTACGGCTGTTGAGTATAAGTGCCTGGGGACGGAATGTGAGAGGGCCCCTTGTTCGGGAATACCACTTAACCTGCCGGCGTCTTATTTATTTCTGCGCTCAAACTTTTGCTTTTGTGATGAACAAAATTAGCACTAGATTTAGAAAGTAGTTAGTAATTTGAGTAGAAGTTACTTGAAAGACGTAGTTAAATTAAACTACTAACTGCCCAAATAAATTTGTAATTGAAAGATACCAAGTTACTCGGAAAAGTAGTTAAACCACAGTAGTTTGAGAAGAGTATAGTTGAACTACGTCCAAGTCTGCCTGTCCCCTATTGCCCGCTTTGTTTGTCATAACGTAGACGATTGGGCTAGTTGGCTCTATTAAAAGTAGAAACAGCGCACGACACGAGCAGAGCAAAATAAGACAGACAAACAACAGCGCTCTTTCTTGTCTGTCTTGTTTTGCTCTGTCCGTGTCGTTGCGTTGTTTGTGCGTTTTTCATAGTGACGCTTCAAAACTCAACACCCCAGCCTCACGCTTTCGTTTCCGTTTTGTGAATCTACCCGTTCCCACAGCGCGCACCGCGATAGCGGATCGAAAAGTGCAGATTGCAAAGCCAAACATCTACAGCTCAAGATAAATATAGCAAGCTGCAGCTCGGAACAGTTATCCGACTTTATGGAGATAGTGGGGACCGTTGAGGTGACGCTTTCGGCCGGTGGTACAAATGTTGCCTGGTTTTTGATTGCAAGAGACATTTTGTAAACTAAGGAGTTCGGTACTTTCAAATTTCTACCAGCCGTATCCGAGAAAATTTGGGGACGTTATAAAACACGCCACGCTCAACTACATGCTGTACTAGGCTGCAGGAAATGGTTGAACGCGCAAATACAACTGACATCAAATAATAAGAATATTTCCTGGTGCAGCAGACGAAATAGCAAAATATCTCAAAATGGAATAATATTGTATAATCATCGTATACAGATGCGTAAAACGAACAGTAAAAGCTTCAGCAAAGCCTCCACTGCCATTTTGAGCTGTTTCCGGGCATTCTTGTGATGTCAATACCTCTCTTCGTTTCATAATATTCAAAATAGCTCGTCGTAGTATCGTACGTAACCATCAAACAAACGTAGACAACCAAATTTAAATATTCATTATTCATATATTTACTCTCAGCCCTTCTAGGCCACCGCAGGAAGAATCGTTATAAAAAGTAATCACATTACATAGTCTCAAATCTTCATAAGCATATAAGTACATTTTCGATCCGACAACAGTATAAATTCAAAACGTGCGCACAGAAGAAAAAAAAAAAGTTTCCTCAAAATACCATTTTGAACACTTAGAATACCACACAACGGCGCCAAACTAAGGCTTCTGCTTTACCGGACGTATAAAAAGAATCTTCAGAACGAACTCCCTTTAAAGAATCGGCGAACCAGGGCAAGCCCAATGGGCATGCAAGCACAGAACCGACATTGCGAGCTGGTACGCCAATGCTTCGAAGGGCTTCGTTTCATTCTCACGACAAACATAAAGCGGGGGTCATTCGGCTAATGCATCAGACAAAAGGCAGTCTGCAGAAACTGTCCGAGGCGTGTCCGCAGACATGATGTCTGCTGAGGACACTGTGTCTGTTGTGACAAAAAAGCAAAAACGCCTTTCAAACCCATGTCCGGAGTTTGTTCTCCGACCGACAGTCAACCTGCGTTCAGAGTCAATACAGTACGTGTTTCCGCGTCGCCCGCACAACAAAGCCGGAGACCAGAGGACGATCCCGTACGTGGGGTTCGTACACAAAAGGCCTGCTTGTTTGATGGGGCAGACGACAGGCCTAGAACGTTTTTTTTGCGCACCTATAGCACTCGCGGCCAAAGTCCAGCCCCAACGGACGCCTACGATAAGCGGGTGCCGCGATAAGCAGATGCCTCCCTCCGCGGCGAAACACACAGGCACGCCTGGAGAAGAGTAGTCCAGAGGAAATGTCCGCAGCCGAGAAGGGAGCGACCGGCGGCGGTGACAACCCGCCCTCGGCCCCCGGGTCCACAGCCCCGTCCCAGCGTGTGCGTCCCAGCCCGAAATATGAAGTCAAAGGGACGTCGTGCGGCGTGGCATGTCTCAAGTACCTCCTCTTCGTCGTCAACGTCATCGTCTGGGTGAGCGTCGGTCGCGTTTTCTGGTCGATGCCTTTACCCAGAAATCCCATGGGGTCGATCCCCACCCCTGCCCGTTTCGATCTAGATGAGCATTGCACCGGCCTGCGGTTGTGTATCACTATATAATGCGTGATGGCGTGATGCATCCAAGGCTTGAGCAGTCGTACTGCACCGGCAAATTTCTGATCAACAGTGGGTAACATTGCAATAATACTCTGGCAGGCGAATCGCCCGCTGTCTAAACAACTAACGACTAATTTGTTACTAGTTTTTGTCGATGCCTTGGGTTTGTTGAAAGGCGCTGCCTGATGGTAGCGAGCCTCTGCACGTCTAGTCACTGACAAGTTAAGAGGGTGTGACTTGTTGCGTTGAAACTTCCTGCCTTGTGATTGGTTTTTCGGCGTTCTTATCTACTGATGCCGCTCCCTCATTGACTGCGGAGCTACATGCTCGAGACTCGCCGCACCCTGCGTTGCTGTGTGTGACTCTAGACAGTCCTCCATGGGCTTCTGTGGCCTTACCGGTTTCAATTTGAGCCCCGTGAGACGCACGCCGTAGTCCCGAGAGCCGAGAGCGAAAACTCTCAGAAGCGTCAACAATTTAGACCACAGAATTGCATCCGTGCCAAAAGCGAGTCAAGCAAGGCTCGAGTTTAATGGAGCAGCCCAGTCAGTGGACGTGCTGTACTGACCAAAATGTCCTCGTGTAGTGGTGTATTAATGCGACAAATTTGAAGATGAATAACGTTGCTTTTGGCCATAAACGTTCGACCGCGAAGCATATTATTACGGCACGGATAGCACAGATAAATAAGGTGTAATCGCATGTTCGGAGTGAACACGGAAACGCCCAGACCTGAGACAGCGACCCGTTATCTTGTTGCCTGTGTGCGGAAGTAACACTTGGAACCCTCTTGGTGTACACGGTAGCATATCAGTACACTCCCACCGAGAACGCTAGGAGCGTTAAGTCCTGTCTACGCATGTCTGCCAGTAGACGACCGACATCTGACAGATTTTCCGGAGAGGCCACGCTGATCCTGAAATTCGGTCAATTTGGCGGAAGTCTGATGTCTCCTTTCGCTTGACGAGCCTGCAGGTTGTATACATCAACAAGCTGCGTACAAACCAGGCAGCGTAGGCCCACACTCAATGTGTGGGCACTGCTCGTGAGCAGAAATCAGATCTGCATGTGAGGTGAAGCGTCTGCGCATGCGCAGTGCCCACAGCAACGCCTTTGCAGCGGCGTGACGTCAGAGAGTGGAGTATAAAAGGCTTTGCTGCCTTACGGCTGGCTTGCAGGTCGTCCTAAGCCAAGACAAGTCGAGTTCAATTCTCTTTAGCAAATCTGACAAAATATTTAGCCACTGTAGACTGCAGCAATCGCTGCAATCTACAGAGGTAACTTGGTTTAGGCCTGACAAAAAAAAAAAGTCTGCGCTGTAACAGTGAGAATACCGGAATCGCTTGAAGCGTCATGCCCAGAGTCATACCACAAAGTCATCGCAACCCCCCACCCCAGTGCTCTGCGGGAAAGTAGGCCTACTAAATATCTTGGACTGAAGGCGTCGTATTGATGTTGACGCACACACTGCAACCTCGCGGTTTATGTCGAGGTGCACTTCCAGGGTCTGCATTTTGCTCGACTGTACATATCCTGACACCTACTCGAAGCATGGAGGTAGGAAACTTCTTGATGCGACATGACGCCACCAGAGGCAAAGCCAGGACTGTTGGGGGACACGCCCTCAACGATGACCAAAACCACAGCTGTTTTGATCACCCCCTCTCACGTGGCGTCACAAAGCCTCCAGAAGCTTCCTACCTCCATGCTTCGAAGGTATCTCTAAACTAAAACTACGGTGCCTAGAGCGAGCGTCTCCCACTGTTGTGTGCTTAGCGTCCCATACTGCCCGTACATCGAAAGGGGTCCTTTAGTGGCAACAAATGACGTCACAGAAGACGGAGCGTCATGCCGTCGGATGCCGCGATCCTGGTGGTTGGTCGTAGCAGTTTCGGCAAAAATGACGGGCAAACGTGAATGCGGCTGCTGTCACGGCGTCCCAACTCCTGGCTGCCGGAGCTTACGTGGACTGCCACACTGGAGAGCAAGCTGCAGCGGAACAGGCGTCTGCCACGTAACCACAACTGTTGGGACCCCGCCAGGATCGCGAGCGTGACACTTCTACGCGGACTTGTACGTAACGAGTTAAAAGTAACTGATTACTTGTAAACAATTACATTTTATTGTAACTTTATAACCCTTCAGTTACTTTTTTTCTGCGGCAACGTTCGCTGTAATTCAATTACTGTTCTTTTTCTTTAACCAATTACAAGCAATCAAATATATGTTTCCGAAAGTGCTAAAATTATTTAGTCTAGTTGTTTTACGCAAAAGATCGCTTTGTATGCCCATGAGTCACACGTCTATGTTGCACCAATGTTAGACACTTACCAAGATACCAGAAGGATTAGAGTGCGCTCAGAGGCGTCTTGAGTGCCGAGCTCTCGAGAGTGCCTCGTTTCCTGTGTAAGGGGTGGTAGGATTCCGGTTTGCCGCGGCCTAGACGACCGTGTTCTGCACTGACCTCACCTCGGCATGAGAAAATGCCCTCCTTCCCCCTCACCTGCGCCCCCCCCCCCCCCCCCCCCCCCCCCCAAATTCCATCTCGCAGAATTAACAAGCGCGTGCTTGGATAGAGGTGCTGGAGGTGCTAAGAACTAAGAGTTATCTTATCTACGATTTATTTTTACTATAACGGGCTGTCTACTAGTCTAGCGTGTGGCTGTTTATTTATCCCTCCCTCTCTCTCTCTATTCCTATGTCTATCTCTATTAACAAAGGAAGTGTCACATTCTATTAGCAATAGACAAAAAGGAACTAAATATACCTTGAACATGCGTATGCATTTTTGATTTCGTAACAAAAAGTTAAAATAGTAACGTGAAAAGTAATCGATTCATTTCTGGTAATTTCCAATTACTTGTGTGATGCAGTAATTGATTACTGTAATCATTTACATCTTTCAATAAAGTAATTGTAATCCGTAACTTTTTTCAGTAACACATACAAGACTGCTTCTACGGCGTCGTCGGGTGGATATAGAGGCTCTACTTTTTTGAACGCGGTAAAGACACCGTCGCGTTCCAGACACCACCACACTAGAACGTAATAAGGCGGTGTCATTTTATGATGTGCCTATAGGAGAGCCCCGGAGACTAAAACAGATTCATCGATGGCAAAGACTTTCGATGACGCTACACAGCTCATTGACAGAAATTACTTCGATAAAGAAAAAAGAAACCTGTAAGTTCATTTTTTTCTGCAATCAGCTAATCACAGCGAACCATAGAAAGGTCGCAGCGAATGACGGAGCTCTGAATAACCAAAACAATGCGATGTGCGCGGGAAGACGTTTCACTTGCTCGTTTTCCCTGCGCCCATTGCATATCTCAGACCTAATCGTATTCTGAGCTTCACCGATCGCCGGGATGCTTGTACTGTACACCGTGATTATCCGTCCCCGTTTTCTGCGGGAATGTGAACTCCCCGGCTCGTCCACCTGAACAGCTGTCCAGCCACAACAATCGGTGTGGTGCACGTCCCTTCAAAACAGGAACGAAAGCTCGTTTCTCGTTCCTTCTCGGTCTTGGAACGAGTTCCCGTCACAAGTTCCAGGAGTTCGAAAGGAAACGCGTTCCCGTTACTTCTCTAAGAATAGAACGTGTTTTTGCATTAAGGTATGCTTTTGCGTATTTTAGTCGAATATTGCGCTAGTAGATAAAATAAAGCGAGCAAGTTAGAATATCCACATCGAACTATACTGTCGTGTCGTCATGATCAGATTTGTTCCAATTCCTTGTTTTTTTACAATCTCTCTGACACTTTCACATCTCTCGAAGTCGGAGCTTGAAATAGTCAATATTAAAATGCCTAAATGTCTACTAAGTTGGTATAAAAATTCAGATATATGGCCGTTCTTCCTCCTCGCGTTCCCTCGACAACGTAAGGAGTTTCCGTTCCAGTTCCACCGATGTGAAATAGAACGGCGGCGTTCCTTCGTTTCTCCTGGAAGGAACGGGTTCCGTTCGACATTGAGTCACATATACCGTTGCCAATCTACAGGTTGCGTATTCCTCTTACTGCTGGTGAAGGCTGTCAGTATAGTAATAGCAATATGGTTCTTATCAAACATTCGAAAATAAGAATAAAAAAGTAAAACCTGCAGCAATGCGGAAACAATCTTTACAGATCGTGATAGCAATATCATAAGCACCACGTTGAAGAAAAAAAAAATTGTTCGTCATTACTTTTTTAGCATGTTCGTTAGATTTTGTTTTTTTTCGGTGTACGTGAATTAGTTGTTTCCATGTCGTCAACTCCATCTCGCGCTGCCAGTACGATATTGTTGTGTGACGCCGTACAACATGGCAAGACTGTTGCGCACATGCTGGCGTGAGACTTAGGTGTAACATAGTCAAAACGCGAATAAAAAAACAGACTTTCACTTTTTTGTTCAGTTCGTCTCTCTTTTCTATTCAATCTATACTTACGTGTATTTTCTTAGAACAAAAAAATACTCGAAGTAATTCTATGCATACATATGAAAACCTGTAAAGGCGTGACCCTGAAGCCACGCAACCGCGATGGCATTATTGATTACATGGCACGGGTGTGCAGACGCTCCAGCTCACGTGAACATATGGTTTGTGCGCATGTGCAGTGCGTGGCACATTGGATCGTGTGCGTGCGTGTGCAGGAACGGTGTCACGTAATATTCCGAAACTGCACCGTCCATTCAAGAATTACCCTCTGGAGTTAAGATCGCTCCGGAGCTGCGTTGTTCTGAGTCGTTCTTTCGGCACCACGAAGCGAGCGAAAACAGTCCGAGATAAGAATTGCGGGCGCGGTTCGCGACCAACTCCGAGCCGGAGCGCGGTGCGTCCGTCGCGGTATGCGTGTGCGTAGCTCCGAGGTCATAAATTGCGAGCATTTACAAC